TCAGCTGTTACCCGCAAAGCCTGCAGTATCAATCGGAGAGCAGATGTCAAAAAGACCTTGGCATTTCCCAGCCTGGTGGATGACTGAGTGCTTCAGACAGCAATTGTTTAACTCTTTCCAAGCAAGGCTTTCCAAAACCACGACAGGGAGACAGAGAGACTATACCTCCTGCTGTATTTTAGGTGTTTAAATATTTATTTGCAGATCAGATTAATATGTTCCATAATGTCATAAAGAAGCAATAAGTATTCAACTAAGGAAGAAGAAAATATCAACTTCTCGAATGGAAACTAAAAAAAGTGGTAATGTTTTCTTACATATTGGATGATACGGCCAGGTTATAATAAACTTTGCTAATAGTTCATGAATTACCTATTTTATGTTAGAGACTGGAGAAATTTCAAGAACCAGGCAACCAAATGTCTGAACTTTGTCCAATGCTGTACATACACTGCTAAAAAAATTAAAGGAAGACTTTTAATATAGTATAGCATCAAGTCAATTAAACTCCTGGGATATTGATCACCGTGGTCAGTTAAGTAGCAGAGGGGGTTGTTAATCAGTTTCAGCTGCTTTGGTGTTAATGAAATTAACAACAGGTGCACTAGATGGGCAACAATGAGATGACCCCCAAAACAGGAATGGTTTTACAGGTAGAGGCCACTGATTTTTTTTTCCCTACTCATTTTTTCTGTTTTTCACTAGTTTTGCATTTGGCTAGGGTCAGTGTCACTACTGGTAGCATAAGGCCATACCTGGACCCTACAGAGGTTGCACAGGCAGTCCAACTCCTCCAGGATGGCACATCAAAACGTGCTGTGTCTCCCAGCACAGTCTCAAGAGCATGCAGGAGATTCCAAGAGACAGGCAGTTAATCTAGGAGAGCTGGACAGGGCCATAGAAGGTCCTTAACCCATCAGCAGGACCGGTATCTGTTTCTTTGTGCAAGGAGGAACAGGATGAGCACTGCCAGAACCCTACAAAATGATCTCCAGCAGGCCACTGGTGTGAATCTCTATGACCAAACAATCAGAAACAGACTTCATGTGGGTGGCCTGAGGGCCCGACGTCTTCTAGTGGGTCCTGTGCTCACTGCCCGGCACCATAGAGCTCGATTGGCATTTGCCATTGAACACCAGAATTGGCAGGTCCCCCACTGGCACCCTGTGCTTTTCACAGATGACAGCAGGTTCACCCTGAGCACATGGGGCAGACGTGAAAGAGTCTGGAGAAGCCGTGGAGAATGTTATGCTGCTTGTAACATCGTTCAGTATGACCGTTTTGGTGGTGGGTCAGAGATGGTCTGGGGAGGCATATCCATGGAGGGACGCACAGACCTCTATAGGCTAGACAACTGCACACTGACTGCCATTAGGTAACGTGATGAAATCCTTGGACCCATTGTCAGACCCTAGGCTGGTGCAGTGGGTCCTGGGTTCATCCTGGTGCACTACAATGCCCGGCTTCATGTGGCAAGAGTATGCAGGCAGTTCCTGAAGGATGAAGGAATTAATGCTATTGAATGCCCCCCCCCCCCCCACACACCGCCTGACCTAAATCCAATAGAACACCTCTGGGATATCATGTTTTGGTCCATCCGACGCCGCCAGGTCACACCTCAGACTGTCCAGGAGCTCAGTGATGCCCTGGTCCAGATCTGGGAGGACATACCCCAGGTCTCCAAAGGTCGTCTCACTAGGAGCATGCCCCGGCGTTGTCAGGCATGCATACAAGCATGTGGGGGGGCCATACAAACTACTGAGTACCATGAGTTATATATGAGTTGCTGTAATTAAATTTCAGCAAAATGGACTAGCCTGCTGCATCATTTTTTTCACTTTGATTTTCAGGGGTGTCTTTGTATTCACTTCTCTGTAGATTTCCATGAAACAATGGGGCATCCTTACGCTCCTAACACATTACCCTGTCCATATCAGTATAGATATCCAGCAGGAGATTTTTCCCCATTGAGATCTGATGTGTTTTCCAAGTGTTCCTTTAATTTTTTTTAGCAGTCTATTTAAAGTTGCTAAATGTGGAATTTCAGTTAGAAATCAAAATTTGCCCTTGCTTAGCCCTGGTTGACATTGAATGCGACTTTGGAATCACGCTACTTCGCTTTAAGTAGCATGATTTCAAAGCTGCAGGTCAGTGCGATTTCAGGTGCAACTTCATGCACAAATGTCTATGCAAGTCGTACCTGAAATCACTGAAAATAGTGCAGGATCTACCTTCAAAATTAGTGAGACTCCGACACAATAGTCCGGCAATAGGGTGTAACTTGTCATGCGGTTTGGAACAGTCAAATCGCATGACAAGCTGCCTGGTGGGAACCAGGGTTTATACAAGCTACACAAGCAGCAATCACCTGAATTTTACTGACAGCATTGTGCCTATGCAGCCGAATGTGTCTGCTCACAGGCATTTCCTTAAAGGCCTAGTCCACCTTTCTTTTTTTTTTTCTAAAATCCAGCTCCTCTATTTACCAATATACCATTAATGTACCTCAGTTGCAAAAATAATAAGTTCTCTTTGATCTGGGGAGGAAGGCCTCACCTTAGCCTTTAGTAAATTTCTTAGAAAGCTTTTTCAACTCCTGGAATGTAAACAGAGGGCAGAGGAGCCAGTAGGACCCAGGATGCATATTACCAGCTGATCCCATTAGCACACACATCCTGCACTAACCTCATTAGTACACACCCTTCACCCATCAACTATTTTTTCACAGCATCCCCAGGATCTCTCTCCACGTGCATTTGCCTGGGTACCCAAGCGTCTCTACAGACAGGCTCAGGCCGCATGCAGCCCACGGGACACCCTGATGTAGTGCAAGGGCCCACTTGACTGGATATGAGTGATTGGATAGATGCTGTGTATATAGTTTTGGTAAATATAAAGGAGATTGTACAATCAGATTGTATAGTGTATGGTCACCTTTATACGCCTAAAATTACCTAGTTGCGCTTTCAGTGTAATTAATTGTTAACAGCACACCAAACACAGAAACAAGCACACATTTTGCCACATTAAAACACAGGTGACAAATTCAGCAAAACATGCAGTAAAAAATGTGAAACGCGCATCATGCCAAAATGTCCCATGAGCTACTTTGCCACGTGTAGCACAGCCCATTGAAATCAACAGGCTGCCCTATGCGTGTCACTGGAAAAATGAGCCAAAAAACATGCGCTCCCCCTACTCTCGGTATGAATGGGGACTGAAAGTGAAACCGGTGCGTTTACACAGAACAATGAGGCTACATACACATCTGTGTGTTTCTGAACGCATGGCAATCTGCACAGAAAATGCATGCTTTGCCATGCATTTCAGAAACACGCTGCAAATGTGCATCGTGTTTGTGTTGTCATTACATGTTATGTGTGGTAACGCACCGAGCTCCACTCCAAAAAAAAAAACAGTTCTGAAGCTTTTCGGGGCGATTGTTGTATGTATGGCAGCCCATTCAAGTGTATGGGATGCTCTATGCGTGAAGAGTAAAAAGGCTCCAAAACAAATGCATGTGGGAATGTGAGTCTTCACTATGTCAAGATCTAAAATATGACCTCACAACTGAGTGTCTTCATCCTCTCCCTCTTATGTACTTGTATAAAGATGGCCATAACCTGTACAATCTCTGTACAATTTCCTTTAGATTTACCAGAACTATGGAATAGGACACTGATGGCGAACCTATGGCATGCAGAGCCATCTCAGTGAGCACGTCAGGAAGAAAAGGAAGATGAGCGTACACGGACCGGCCATCCAGATCTTGTCCACACTGCACCCCCCCATCGAACTACATCTCCCACATGTCTCTGGGGCCAGAATGGGCATGGACGAGAGGAAGTGGCTCCCACATGGCTCTGTCGCCAGGGGTGACGTATCCGGGGATGGGCGTGGATGAGAGGAAGCGGCTCTCACACTGCTCTAGGGCCAGTGGTGACGTGTTTAGCGTGGATGAAAGGAAGTGGATCCCACACTGCTCTGGTGCCATGGGCGACATGTTCAGCACGGATGGGAATCAGCTGACGGGTTGGAAGCTACAACGACACTCCTGGAGGTGAGATTAACTGCTTCCCAACCGCGCTATAGCCGAAAGACGTCCATGGACGTCCTCCCAAAACATGCCCCCTGCGCCCCCCCCCAGCGGCACGCACCCGGTGCTGTCCGTGATAAGGTTTTGTTGCAGTTTGGGCACTCGGGCTCAAAAAGGTTCGCCATCACTGGAATAGGAGGACACACCTAAACAATCTATTCAATTTGTATCAAATCAGACAGGCCCTCCTACTACATAGCTGAGAAAGGTAGTATTTGTAATGAGGGAGGTGTGGTCCAGGGTGGTGAACACACCCTATCACAACCTCTACTGTGATGCAACAAGGAAGTGAAGGCTTCTGGGAAGAGGCCTACAGGAAGTGAATGCTGAGAGACCATCCACAGGAAATTATGCAATCTGAAAATCTGTTCAAAATCTTATAGAAACTGACAAAAAATGAAACGTCCTGTGGATGAGGTGAGAGAAAAGCATATAGGGATGGCTGGGCCAGAAATGGCATTGGAAAACGCTTCTATTTAATATGAAAAGTGAAATTCTGCCCAAAAAGGTGAACTTATCCTTTAACCACTAGCCTACCGGGCACTTATACCCCCTTCCTGCCCAGGCCAATTTCCAGCTTTCAGCGCTGTCACACTTTGAATGATAAGATTGCGCTTGATTATATGCATAGCACTGTACCCATATGAATCCTCCCTGTTTTTTTATCATTTTTTGTGGACAGAGCTTTATTTTGGTGGTATACTGGTTTTATCAACCTCTGAAGGTTGATTTTTTAGCTTTTTTCTTAAACTCATTAAAAACCACTGAAAATTTTGAAAAAAAAAAAACATTTTTTCTTAGTTTTTTTTTGTTATGAAAAAAAAAAATTTTTTCTTAGTTTTTGGTTATAAAAGTTTGTAAATAAGTGATTTTTCTCCTTCACTGATGTGCGCTAATGAGGCTGCAGTGATGGGCACTGATAGGCTGCACTGATGGACACTGATAGGTGGCACTGATGAGGAGGCACTGGTAGGTGGCACTGATAGGCAGCACTCATATATGGCACTGATAGGCGGCACTAATGCACACTGATTGACGGCACTGACTGGCACTGACTGGCACTGATTGGCAGCACTGATAGGAGGCACTGACTGGCATTGATAGGTGGCACTGACTGGCACTGATGGGTGACACTGAAAGGCTGCTCAGATGGGCACTGATATGTGGCATTGATGTGGCACTGGCAGGTGGCATGGATGACCACTGACAGCTGACACTGATAGACACTGACAGGTGGCACTGCTGGGGCTACACAAATCATCAGTGCCCTGATGATCAGTGCACATGTCCCCTCTGAGGGATGCCAATTACCGGCTCTCCTCTCCTCTCGAGCTGTCAGCATGACAGATCGTGAGGAGAGAGAAATGCCGATAACCAGCATTTCCCTATTTACATGTGATCAGCTGTGATTGAACACAGCTGATCACATGACCGAGCCGACATCTTCGGCTCTTTCCATTGATCGGTGATCTGCTGTGTCCGAGGGACACAGCTGGAGGGCTGCAGTTTGATACCCCTGCTTTAAACCATTGTCAACATCTGTGTATTAATTTCATCAAAGCTCTTAATAGCTATGCCCCCTGTCCCACCTTGTCCCACCCCCCGGCTATCAGCACCATCATCAGCAATGTGCTGCAGCTCCTCCTATCCTCCAGACATGACTATACTAGGAGACAATGGACATGCTCAACAGCTACCCTGCAGAACTAAAGGCAAGGCCTTTGCAGTCATGTGACAGGCGGAAGCTATAAGTCATTAAAGGTAGATAAAAAACATTTTTACAGTTCGAACTATAAGGCCCCATGTACACAGGACACTTCTGAATGATGGAAACTGACTGCTGGAAAATGTAGGTTAAAAAACGTCTGTTTAGCTGTGTTTGCATAACGTGTTTATGTGTGTTTGCATTTAGAAGCATTTTTCAAAGATAAGCACAGGAGAACCTCCCAAATGCCCAGAATGCACTAAAATATGGTAAATTATTAACTATTTGAGACTGTTTCAGAGAAATACAGAGTAGAAGCAGAGACAGCAGTGTGTGTTGAGATTAGCTTAGGTGAGCTTTGCTCATTAACATTTCTTTTGTTTCCAAGGATGGGAAGGTATCTCCTGGAGTGAGTCACTAAGGCCACCTGGCAGGGGGTCTTCATGAGGAATTTGAGATGTGAATGGTCATTAAAATGTGTGACAAGCTTGGTAGGAACATCCTGTTTTCAGTGTTTTGTCCATCTGAGTACCTTGAAAATGCTTTGCATGCATTTTTAATGATGAAAAAAAGGCTCTGGACAGCATTGGGAACTGGAAGAGTTTAAAAAAAAATTTCAAACGCAAACACTTATAAACGCGATTTGCCACATTTACAAGCGTTTTGCGTTTGAAACGTTGATAAAATGTTTTCTGCGTTCAAAAAAAACGACTGTAAACTCAAATTCCTGTAAATGACTGTAAATGAAGATGTGTACATGGACACATAGGAAAAACATTAGGGTGAGTTCAGGGGCTGCTGAAAAAAGCGTTGAACAGCTCCTAAATGTGAGTTTATCAGCTGCAGTGTACATGAGCCTAAGGATGTAATATTATTGTGGTATCTGATTTTAAGGAGGTGAATGATAGAAAAATGTTCTTTCCAGTTTATTATACATTTAAACCTTGTATAAGCCTTGAAATATTAAAGCCAAAATCAGCATAAGGGACAAAACGTGATGTGTGATGTGTTCCATGTTCCGATTCCTATACTGTTGTGAAAATCTTGAAAATATTTCTCCGTCCCCACAATCTCCCAGTGTGGCAGGGGATGATACAACTAAGAGGCTGTCACAGACTCTCATCAAGAGGGACGAACTATGCCCACCCTTTCCTCTCAGATCTACCATTCAAAGAAGACGTACTACAGCTTCTATGATATGAATGGAGGGGACATGGTTATAAGCCCTCCGCCTGTCCTTCACTCATAGAAGCTGTAATATGGCTTATATAGGTTAAGGAGCTGGGTGGAAAGGGTAGGCACAGTTGGGCTCCCTTGATGAAACCTTTTGACAGCCCCAGGACACTGCTATGAGGGTTTTGTAAAAACAATGCTATGGGGGGGGGGGGATGTGAGGACAGAGCCCCCTTATATCAGAGAGAAAACCATATGCAACCTCTGCTGACCTGAATCCTCAATTTAGATTAAGCCACTGAAAAACTTGTTGCGGGCCATAGTTTGGAGACGCATGCATTGGTACATAAAATACTTGTATCAAAACATTATAATCTGCCTCCTATATAACCAGAATCATCCATACAGACCCATAAAGACAGCCTATAGAAATCCATATACCTGACAATTTCACAAATATATCTGAACTCAAACATATTCTACTAAAGAAGACACAATTTTCCTGAGAAATACTCAACAGGTTTAGACTGGATTCTCTCTGGGGAGGACATTAATACACACAAAATTCCACTATTTTTCATTTAATCTGAATGTGAACTCTTGCATGTCTGTCTAGGCAAGATCACAAAGGTATTTAATGTAATAAATAGCCTCCTGTTTCTCTGTCCAGACATCACCAAAGGTCAGATTACAATCAAATGCACTGAAAGCACAATATGTACTTATGGCATGTCTCCTCTTGGACAGTATCCAGTCCATGAAGAATACCTCTCAAAAGGATTTGTTTCTTGCAAGGCACTTTTATGAGTCTGAGGCATCGCTTACGTACAATTCATTGGCAGGTACTGCAAAACCAATGTTCCAAATGGCATGAATCCATTTTGATGAGATATTAGGTTTAAATGAGGAGTTAACACATTTTTAGTGTATGAATGACACTATGGTTAAATATCATAGTGATGACATGTTTAATGATGTTTATGCGGGGGGGATTCCGTGCAGAATCCATTCTGATCATTAGGGGATCAGCTCACAGATCCCCTGCTGATCAGAGCAGAATGGGCAGATAGCACATTCATGCCTGCTCAATTTCTGCAGAGCGGACGCGATTAGAATCCGCTCTGCTCTATGGGTAGCCGGGAGTAAGCGGCCTCCACTGTCTGTTCCCACTCGACTACCCTCTGATACACCTAAATGGGAGAAGATAGATCCCCTTTCAGTTTTTTTTTTTTTTTAGCTGACCAGACCAGACCAGACCTGGAGGTAGGCATGTGTAAAGAGACAAGTTCGTTTACACCCACCTGTCCATAAGGATACATGGACCTTCCCATCAGGTCCACCTGAAAAACTGACAGGCAGACCTGATCGGATAGCCCATGAGAAAGGGGCCTTACTGCAACTGGAATAAACATCGTGCAACTAATTGATGACATTTGACTACCTAATGTCAGTAGTTTGATCTATGTATTGTTGAAGATTGTTCCATTATACCCTACTAATAAAGGATATGAAAATTCCCCAGCAAACTCTTCGCTTCGTCAGCACAAAATACCTAGTTTAATGCTTAGGTCAAAAGCAGAAGCATTTGCTGCATTGAGACCCTGTTTTGACAGCGACAGCCAATGGCTCCCACTGATGTGTGAGCCAATGAGGAGAGAGAGACCCAGCAGAGACGTGGCTCTCATGCACATCGCTGGATCAAGAGGGGGTTCAAGTAAGTATAAGGGGGGCTGAAGGGGGAGCTGCACCCAGGTTTTTTTTACCTTCATGCATAGAATGCATGAAGGTAAAAAACCTTCTACCTTTGCAACCACTTTAATTCTCTTCACTGTTGCAAGCCATTTAGGACTGTAAGAACAAGTATACCTCTTGTGAATTACTGCCATCTGTTCCTAAAAGTGTAGGACTCAGGGCCTAGTATTTTACCAGTTTTGATAAAAAATTTATCTAGGCAGCATTTCTAAGATTTAAGATGGGAGACTAATAATGCATGGCTTGTTTATGTCCTTGACTGGTTTTATACCTGTTTAAAATTCGATTTACAAATGTCTCCAATTTATTATGCAGGGTGGGAACCAGGTTTGTTAATGGAATGTTTGTTTTGTCATTTTCTATGTTCCCTTACAGTGCATTCATAAAGTATTCAGACCCGCTTCACTCTTACAGTTTCGTTATGATGGATCTGATACTACAGTTGTTTAATATAATCTGCAATCAGTATCCCATAATGACAATTTGAAAACAGAATTTTAGAAATGTTTGCAAGTTTATGAAAAAGGAAAAACTGAAATATCACATTGGCATAAGCATTCAGACCCTTTGCAACAACACTTGAAATTTAGCTCAGGTGCCTCTCTTTTCTCCTGATAGTTGTTAGATGTTTCTACACGTTCACTTGAGTCTACCTGTGATAAAAATAAACGGGCATTATTTGGAAAAGCACCCAACTTTCCAAAAAGGCCGCACAGCTGAACATGCATACTGTATCAGAGCAAACGCCATGAGGTCAAAGGGACTGCCTGCAGAGCTCAGAGACAGGATTATTGCAAGGCACAGAACTGGGGAATGCTACTTTCTGCTGCACTGAAGGTTCCCAAGAGAACAGTGGCCTCCACAATTCTCAAATGGAAGAGGTTTGGCACAACTAGGACTCTTCCAAGAGCTGGCCACCCGGCCAAAGTGAGAAATTAGGGGAGAAGAGCCTTAGTAAGAGAGGTGACCAAGAACCCACTGGTCACTCTGACTGAGCTCCAGAGATCCTGTGTGAAGATGGGACAAAGTTCCAGAAGGACAACCATCACTGTAACCCTCCACCAATCTGGGCTTTATGGCAGAGTGGCTAGACAGAAGCTTCTCCTCAGCACAAACATATGAAAGCCCACTTGGAGTTTGCAAAAGCATTTTGGTAGTCAGGACAAACAGAGAAGGCGAGTCTGCTTAACAGGACAGCAATAAAAACCTGACAGCAATTCTAATCCCTCTCCACCTATGCAAAACTAAAAACCGTTTTGCTTAAGTTAAATCTTTAAAACTGAATTTCAGATATGGCTATTTTAGTTACATTGGTCCAGCTTGTACTAATGTAACTAAATATGTAATCTTTCACAATAATCTCTTGAAAAGCCGCAGATCTTAATGCCAAATAAAAAACATTTGTGGCTAGGTTCACACTTGAGTGGGTGGTTGCAGGTATCGCAGCTGTTCGCGCAGCCACAACCACCCTTAGTTTCAGTTACTGAACCTCAAGTTGGACAGGTGATTCACTGTTTTGCATTCTCTAAGTGGAAGGAATTGGTTGTCCTTGGATTACTTTTGTCTTTTGATGAGGAGAAGCACATCCTTCATAAGATCTGGTCACTGGTGACCCAGAATGCCCCTGAAAAGTTAAGGATGATAGGCGACTGACTCCTCATCCAATGGTACACAGGTTAAAGCTTGGCATGAGAGACACTCATGAGCCGTGCATGTGGGCTTTAGTATACTACTTGATAAATAGAGTTTACTTGTCATACAGCAGCACATGGGTCACACTCCCTGATAAGGATTTGGCCTCAGCACCCTTGGATCTCCTCCCTCATGTTCAACCAGTGTATGTCCTACCT